GTTATAATTACCACCCCCGCCCCAAAAGAATAAAAACAAAACAAAAAACAAAAAAACAAAATTGACATAGAGTCAGCAAAAAAATATAAACTTTCATCTCTACTTTGCAAGAAGCTATGTTACTCAGATTCGAAAGTTGATTGATAGTTGTATCCATGAAGCATACACACTGAAAACGTACACTGACATTCACGTACTACAATCTTAAAAACTACCAAACACTTAAAACATGGATAAGAGCTTCTTTACTCTTTGTAATGACATTGAAGGGCTGCATCTTGCCTCTTAATCATCTGCATCCCCAAGAAAAGAGAATTGACGTCATATGCAGGAATGTTTGCTCAAGGTATTATTAATGTATAATATTATCAATATAATTAGGAAGCCAAAGAGATTAACAGAACAGAAGCCAAGTAAATACAATGAAGAATACAATGGAGTTGAGGAGATGGAGGAGTGGTATTCACCAAGGTGTTATTCGTCTGATGAGGAGAAAAGAAGTTGCCCTCAAATGTCGCTATACAGAATAAAGAAGTTGTTATCCATAAATGGTTTCGACTTACAAAGACCGATGTGCACTCTCGAGGACTTTTTATGAACCTTAATCTTTTCAGACTTTATATTTTATGTATATGGCTTCTGGGGGAAAAAACCCATTCGAGTCACAAGAGATATGAGTGTCATGTTGTTTGAAGAGACATAAAATCTAAAAAAATATTTTTTAAATGAACAGGGTTCCTGTTGACATCACACATTCACGAATAATTATTTTAAAGAATTAGCCAAAGGCTGTTTCTATCCATCCTTAATTTACTTTTAGGCATGGTGGAGGCATGGTGTGCAAGCTGTCTAAAGAGCCAGGCTAGTGATCCAGCGAGCTTGAGGTGTTGGGATCGAGTCCACCTGTGACTGGGTGTAAAAACCTTGGAGTCAACTTTGTGTGCAGACTCTTTCAGTGTTGTCACAACCCCTGGTGTACAGTACACAACCCTGTGCACTTAAAAGAACCCACGAATCCTTTGGTAAATGACCAGATGGTGGCCACATGAATACATGCAAACACCTATAGTTTGGCATGAAATGCATGTGGACCCGATTTTTTGTAAATATCTCTTCATCCAATGACCCAATCGATCTTTTAATTAGAAATGTGTTGAATTTTTTTTAAAAAGAGAGCAAACGTAGCAAACCGATTTATAAGGTGTCGGATTACATGAAACGTACATAGCTGACCTACATTGACGAAAGTTGACCTTTGGTAAATGACCAGATGGTGGCCACATGAATACATGCAAACACCTAGTTGTGGGTACAAAGTACTGTGACTATTGTGTCCCAGTCCATCCAGCTGTGAATGGGTACCACATGGCAAAGCCATGATAACTCGGTGCACCTAGTGGCTGCAAGAGTTGTATGATGCCCAGGGAGATGAGATTTATAAGATGTGCTGTTGAGATTGACACCGAACGATCGAGGGAAAAAATACCAGTGCCTTGAGCATGTACTAGTTGCATGGATATGTGTGCTATATAAATATTCTAGAATAATAATAATGATAATAATACTTTGTTTAAAAGGATATCACTAACTTTTCACAATTTGAGAGAAATGTAACTGCATGATATTTTGGATATCCTAAAAAATTAAAATTCAATGAATCTAGAAAGGTTTTTGTTTAAGTTAATCCATTGAATGTATTTATACAATATCTGTGTGAATATATTTTAGTAAAGAGTTCAATGAATCACTAAAACTTAAATATGCTAAATTCATAACAAAATGACATAACCTGTGGCTATACATGTATCTTAATCTTAAATAATTAACGTATCATGTTTATTATACTGTGTTAAAATTTCACATCATAGTAAATTGTATACTGTATTAAACAGTATTTAAGTAATAGTACTGCACATCAGATTTAAGCTGGAGTACAGCTTGAAGCGTCCTACCTTCACGATATTTACAACTTTTGTGTCCATCCAAGAACCATAATAGAAGGGAATTGGGATTTGAACCCATGGTCAAAAGGGGTAATTCTGCGCTGCAACTTACACTGGCTTAGTCTGTGGGACAAGCATATAACTACTGGCAGGATCAACCAGATTAGCGTCACTGGAATCATAAATATTATGACAACTTCCAAAAATCCAAATTTCTTACCCAACAACATGCATAACTATCATAGTGGATCTACACAGATATATGTTTCTTGAGACTGAACACAACAGAAAATCTTGGCCCCGACAGTTTTGTTTCATATTTGTTGTACCATATGAGCTTTTGGGCAAATCCTTTATTATTCCAAGGCAGCAGTTTTAGGAGATTGTAAAAGCAATGGATTCTGATTACGGATGAGTTTTATTCTGGACTGTGACACTTCATCATTTTGTGCATCCATCTGAATCACAGTGCAAGATATTGCATATATATGCCGCAGTTAGTTGCAGGTTCTTCCAGAACAATACTTCAAATAACACACAAAAACCATCCTTCATCTTGTGAGTTCATGTATCAAGCTCCTGCACAGTGTATGCATTTTAAGACTTGGTATAGAACAGGGCTCTGTGGACAAGGTGTCACTGTGAGGAGCTTGGTACTCTGGCAGGAAAGGGGTTGAATAATCAAATTATACCAAAATAATTGGAGTTGAAATAAGTATTGATTCATGTTTTGTCATTTATTCAGATTTGTGGCACTCTTTTAAAAGAATGAACTGATTATTGGCACTGCGCCCACTTTCGTGGGGCAGTCCTTTTCACAACTAAGATGAACAGAGGGCATATTTATCAGATAACTTAAACAGATAACCCATGATTGATAAAATGTTTTTTTCTTTGAAGTCCTGGACATGAATTGGGTGAACTTGTTAATTTTCTCTCTGCCAAGCTAAAATGATTACAGGCTGAAAAAAAACAGACCTGAATCGCAACAAACTTGACCCAAACTCGATAAAATATGTGAGCTGCGGAAACAAACGGCCTGAAATATATGGTGATGAAACAATACATATGTTACACAGAAAAACACATTCATAAGACATTCTTTAAGAAATCAACACAGATGTCCAAATGACAATTGAATTATCAATACAATGCACGTTCATTTCAAAATCATATTAATAAATCCCTGAAATGCTTTCTGTAGACACGTCCATATTATGTAAAAAAGACTGAACAAACTTGACATGATCATGATATATTTCAATGGAAAAATATAACTGGAAAACAAGAAAGAATAGCAACAACACTTTTGTAAACTGGTTTTATTTAATGCTTGTTGTTGACAGCTTCTGTCTGTCCCGAGCTGAATATGAATGAAATCGACACGTGTACATTTCATGTCATCTGCAACGAAATACATCACATTGCATACCCACAGGAAATTAATTAACTTCCTTAATAAAATCTGCCATAAACCATTTAATGATATTGATGAGGGAAAAAATGAAACCTTGAAATAACTTTCAACTATGATAAATAATTAAATTGATTTTTGTAGAAATACCAGAATTGAATCAATTTATACAGGAAACATTAGAGTTAAAGGCATGCAACTTAACCGTTACATAGATGGAAACATAAGAACAGTGATTTTCACAGTGTTTATTGAAATGATTAAAAGTACTGTTCTCATTTATCAAAGTTAAAAGTATCTTTTTCAACAAATTTACCCTAAACACATCAGACAGTGTTATTGATTTTCCGTACCTTAAAGTTTCCAAATAAATTTATAGTCAAATAATTTAAAGACTTAAAGACATAAAAAGTGTACAATGATATCTACTGCAGGAGCTTCCAGCTGATTTTGAATAAAATGGGAATATTACTTCGTGAAAACATAACAAAACTATTAAATAATTTATCCCAATGCAAAGTTTCTGTAGCAGATGTTGTAGATATACCAAGCAATATATATAATGTAGCCAAATAAACATGGGATAGAGCAACAGTTAGCAATATATATATAGGAACAGTTAAGTGTGTTTTCAATATAACGCTCTATAAAGATGATTAAATATTTTATATTGCTGAAGCAAACAGGGTCAGTAAAACATCCTGTCAGTCCTTCAAGGTAAATATTCTGAAAATATTAATCCGTTGTAACAAGCAACAAATATTGAAAAAAATACATAATTGCTTTCATAACAGGTAACAACATGTATGCAATCAAAGTGTAAACCAAATCCACAATGGAAGTAACAAAACTTTCATAGCCTTCTTTGTGAATTTAATATATCCAGTATTCAAGACCAATCTATTTTCTTGTTTTATTGATAAACATCATAAAAAAAAACAAGGAACACAGGAAATCTGTAAAACAAGAAAATGTTTTGGTCAGGTCTTGCTAACTTTCATGATGGTTTCTCTGGTAACCTTGGAGATGCAACTGGTGCTGTAAGAAATTGTCAGATGTATTTATTCTGACCAGAACTAAAAAACATTTTCATTTTCACGGTACAAGGAAATGTTTTTCATTGCTACAAACTAGGGCTAACTACACAAGACTGGACACCTTCCACCACATTAGCAAGGAATGTGCAGAAAATGCACAATGTAATGTAACGGTACAAAGCATTTTACTGGCTTAACAAAAATTAGAGGGGGTTAGGCAGGGTTTCCCCAACACAACAACCAGACGCATGTACTTGTGTAAGTATTGTATATAGTTTCCAAAGTTTGTAAAATACATTACGCTCCTTGATATGCAGCCCAATGGATGTATCTGATGAGGATACAGAATGCCATGAGGTTGGAGTAATATTTCTGATGTCCAGTTTCCGACATTAAGAATAACTTTGATATCCAATATTGAGTGTCAGTCATATTAATAATATTAAACCATAAAAGTAGTGGAGTAGTTTTTTCTGCTTATTTTGGGCTTCGTCACCTATCTTTGAAAATAGTTAAGCAACAGCATGTGATATTATCAAGAACAAACATGGTGGATAGGTATCCGGTCCGCTGTATGTGTGTCTATAATAGAGAAAATGTCCCTACCTTATTAGCATGTGGGCATGATCCCCTGAAAGGTACCTGCAAAAAATGCCAATTACGAAATTAATAAATACAATATACTTGCAAAAAATGACTGGCACAATTGACAGGATTGGGATCAGGACAACACTACAGTACTATTTTGGGGTTGAGTTCCATCTAAGATCCAAACCAATACCTGATAAGTTGATAACATGAATGATTTTCACAATTAGGCTATAGTCACATATAACCTTTATGGCTACTGTTCAGACAGAACCTTTCATGACGATCACTGATCTAGATTCACGCCATGACTACTTAAGACAGGATGTTACTGAAGATTACCCTTGGAGGTTTATGCCATGTCTACTTGAGACAGAATGTTTCTGATGATCACCCTTGGAGGTTCATGTCATGACTACTGAAAACAGGATGTTACTGATGATCACCCTTTGAGGTTTATGTCATGACTACTGAAGACAGAATGTTTCTGATGATCACCCTTTGAGGTTCATGTCATGACTACTGAAGACAGAATGTTTCTGATGATCACCCTTTGAGGTTCATGTCATGACTACTGAAGACAGAATGTTTCTGATGATCACCCTTTGAGGTTCATGTCATGACTACTGAAGACAGGATGTTTCTGATGATCACCCTTTGAGGTTCATGTCATGACTACTGAAGACAGAATGTTTCTGATGATCACCCTTTGAGGTTCATGTCATGACTACTGAAGACAGAATGTTTCTGATGATCACCCTTTGAGGTTCATGTCATGACTACTGAAGACAGAATGTTTCTGATGATCACCCTTTGAGGTTCATGTCATGACTACTTAAGACAGAATGTTTCTGATGATCACCCTTTGAGGTTCATGTCATGACTACTGAAGACAGGATGTTTCTGATGATCACCCTTTGAGGTTCATGTCATGACTACTGAAGACAGAATGTTTCTGATGATCACCCTTTGAGGTTCATGTCATGACTACTGAAGACAGGATGTTTCTGATGATCACCCTTGGAGGTTCATGTCATGACTACTGAAGACAGAATGTTTCTGATGATCACCCTTTGAGGTTCATGTCATGACTACTGAAGACAGAATGTTTCTGATGATCACCCTTTGAGGTTCATGTCATGACTACTGAAGACAGGATGTTTCTGATGATCACCCTTTGAGGTTCATGCCATGACTACTGAAGACAGAATGTTTCTGATGATCACCCTTTGAGGTTCATGTCATGACTACTGAAGACAGGATGTTTCTGATGATCACCCTTTGAGGTTCATGTCATGACTACTTAAGACAGAATGTTTCTGATGATCACCCTTTGAGGTTCATGTCATGACTACTTAAGACAGGATGTTCTGATGATCACCCTTTGATGTTTCTGATGTGAGGTTCATGTCATGACTACTGAAGACAGAATGTTTCTGATGATCATCCCTTTGAGGTTCATGTCATGACTACTGAAGACAGAATGTTTCTGATGATCACCCTTTGAGGTTCATGTCATGACTACTGAAGACAGAATGTTTCTGATGATCACATGACTACTGAAGACAGAATGTTTTGAGGTTCATGTCATGACTACTGAAGACAGAATGTTTCTGATGATCACCCTTTGAGGTTCATGTCATGACTACTGAAGACAGAATGTTTCTGATGATCACCCTTTGAGGTTCATGTCATGACTACTGAAGACAGAATGTTTCTGATGATCACCCCCTTTGAGGTTCATGTCATGACTACTGAAGACAGAATGTTTCTGATGATCACCCTTTGAGGTTCATGTCATGACTACTTAAGACAGAATGTTTCTGATGATCACCCTTTGAGGTTCATGCCATGACTACTGAAGACAGAATGTTTCTGATGATCACCCTTTGAGGTTCATGTCATGACTACTGAAGACAGAATGTTTCTGATGATCACCCTTTGAGGTTCATGTCATGACTACTGAAGACAGAATGTTTCTGATGATCACCCTTTGAGGTTCATGTCATGACTACTGAAGACAGAATGTTTCTGATGATCACCCTTTGAGGTTCATGTCATGACTACTTAAGACAGGATGTTTCTGATGATCACCCTTTGAGGTTCATGTCATGACTACTGAAGACAGAATGTTTCTGATGATCACCCTTTGAGAATGTTCATGATCACCCATGACTACTGAAGACAGGATGTTTCTGATGATCACCCTTTGAGGTTCATGTCATGACTACTGAAGACAGAATGTTTCTGATGATCACCCTTTGAGGTTCATGTCATGACTACTGAAGACAGAATGTTTCTGATGATCACCCTTTGAGGTTCATGCCATGACTACTGAAGACAGAGTGTTTCTGATGATCACCCTTTGAGGTTCATGTCATGACTACCACTGTGGTCTAGCGGATAAAGCAAATACCTCGGGAACAGAATTTTGCTGCTTCAATCCCTGGTTGTGTCATATCAGAAGATGTTGAAACAGTAAGAAAAAAATTTCAACTGAAAAATGCATTTTCACCTAAAATGCAAACATATTTCATATTTACAACATTTCAAAGTTCATTATTGTTTTTCATATCTAGAAGGCAACATTGCAATTTTATGTTCATTTCACATAACATGTTTACGACATGTTTAACTTATTATAAATATTTCTATAAAGGAATTAAGTATCATTAAAAATATTTCCAACGATAAACCTTTACAGTGAAGACATTTCTCAAATTGTCAGAAAGAGCAAGCAATGAATTATGGGCTCAGCAAGAGCAATAATGATCATATCCACAGACGAAATGAATATCATGTCAATTTCAAGCTTTTTTCATGTTGACAAGACTTCCTTGATGTTATTCCAAAGCCATCAGGTAGTAACAAATCCAGTTTTTCACAACTCAATTTCAGTTAATTATAGTTACATTTTATTTTTTATTTTTCAAATGCATCTTGATCTCCAACAGACTAATCAGTCATATGTTTTTTGTTGGGGAGACTGTATCGGTGAACCGACATAAATCTGTTTTCAGAACAGAAACAGTAAACTCTTACACTTCGTCTGACAATGTAATATACTTCATTTACGTTGCAATCTAATTTCACCAAGAGTTAAGTAGCAGAGAGTGGAAATTTAAGCAGATTAATCCATTTCTATTAAGCAGTACTGATCAAAATAAGAGCTTGATGCCAGTCGTGATTTCTTCAATCTTCCCAGAGTACCATGTTCCGACAAGATACACATTGTTCCAACAAAGATACACGTTCATGTCATACATCACATTTTTTCCTGATAACTCACACTTATTCTTAAATGAATAAATTGCAAGTGATACAATGGCATTCAATTGGCTAACCAAGCATATTTTTACATGTATGTTTCCATGAACTTAAAACATTACCCTGTGCCCAATAGTTGATAGCTTTTTTCAGATTTCAGTGATAATAGAATGGGTGTCACTTGTGAATCGTTATTATGCTGAATCACTGATTTCATACTCTTCTATACAATTACTTATTGTTAATGATTATGGAGTGAGTAAATATTTAAAATGCTACTTTAAGCAATATTCTTGCAAAATCATGGTGGGGCATATCTGGAATTGATTCACACATTGTATTCAATTGGGGAATTGAACCCAGTTCTTCAGCATGATGAGTGAATGCTTGAACCACTTGGCTACCCATCACTCTGTTAATGATTAAAATAAGAAGTCTTTCAAGTTAATAGTTTTGATGTTATCATATACTAGTATCAGAATTGATTTTAATATGTTTTGTGTTAATGAAGTTGTGGTCTGCACATATAACACACTAAGCACTCTATTTCTACTCTTAATCTCCTTAAAGGCAAACAATACTGAAATCAATTCTTAAATACAGAACACCCATATTGTTCATTTGTGACATCATCATAAGTAAAAGGGGTCAGACCAAGGTCATTGCTATGTCAGTATCTATTTGTAGATGCACTGACTAAAAATAGTACTGCAGTGGCTAAAAACATGTTATTGTGATACTATTGTCATAGTATTTCATAGTAATAATAACCAAGCCATTTAATAGCACTGAACTCCATGCCACATGGGCATGCTCCATGTGCATACAACATAATGGACATTATTTCCCAAATAATCCAAGCTGCATGTGAGGTGCTGGAAGGTTACCAGTAATAGTCATATGACTTATCCCACTGGGTACCCATTTTCTGCTGAGTGAACAGAGACAATTTTGAACAAACTCACTTTCCTAAGATGAGACCACATATGTCATGTGTGCTTCATTGTGGGGCAAGACAGAAGTCCTAGAAAGTCTTAAGGAGTCAGGCTGCCAAATACGGTCACCCATCTAAGGACTCCGTGGACAATGTTTCTTAACTTCAACTGATTTGTGACCTGGGCTGTATGCACAAGATCCCACACCACCACACAGTATGGGGAGACACAGGTGGCTGAGCCACTAAAGGTGACGCAGTTTGGTATCTAGTTCTTCCAGAATCCAAGTTTGTCCTGATTATGTTTCCATGTTTGACCATACCCCATGGGTGGCACCAAATGGTATTCATCCAAGACCAGCATCTTTCAGGTTGTCCTCCACATCTAGACAAGCTCAGGTATACTGACATACTGTTCAGTTATCATACCTTTTTGTTCTTAAAATACAAAAATTGCCTAGCTTTTTGTCTAGCTATTATTCCACATGACGTCATGTCTAACAAGCCAATTTTGGGTTCATTATGTAGGTCTGGATGATAGGCAAATGGAGATACAGACTGTAATAGCTCCGTCAACACCTCAACACTGGCTATGGTAGATAACATGAAGCTGTTGATTGATCAGCACTCACTAATGAGTGAGTGAGTGAGTTGAGTTTTACGTCGCACTCAGCAATATTCCAGCTATATGGCAGCGGTCTGTAAATAATCGAGTCTGGACCAGACAATCCTGTAATCAACAACATGAGCATCGTTCTACGCAATTGGGAACCGATGACATGTGTCAACCAAATCAGCGAGCCTGACCACCCGATTCCGTCAGTCAGCCTCTTAAGACAAGCATGGGTTACTG